AAATAATAATTGTGATTTAAAGTTTAAAATGAATATAAATGTGACTAGATGAATGTGTAAACGATATCCGATTAACTTATTTTTTGCAAGCATATTCTGCGTAATGTATTCTAAAATGTAAACAGTTCAGATTATCGAAATGAGCTCTGAAATGGGCCCATTTCGCTGCACAACAGCCACCCCAAATTCAAAAAAATGCATTAATCACACACCACTATTTAATGTTGATATATATTACACACAAAAAATTAAACATGATTCTCTATTGATATTGTCATTATGTTTTGGTAGTTCTCATGTATCATTGATTGTCATTATGTTTTAGTAATTCCTATGCATCAAAATGTTGATTGTGCATGATGACGTGAATGTTCACATTAGATAACGTGAACGTGAACGTGAACATTTACATCAGATGACGTTGTGATAAAGGTGATGTTAAGGTTCACATCAACATTGTATTAAATTACACAACCACAAGTCTCAACTTTTATTTGAATATAAACATGATGTGAATGTTTACACTAAAACATATAAATGTGAATGTTCACATGAATTCTGTAATATAGATATTAACATTATGAACATTAACATTTATATTCACATTCATATGTTTTAATGTGAACGTTCACGTCATCTGATATGAACATTCACAATCCGTCATCTGATGTGGACATTCACGTCATCATGTACAGTCAATATTTGGATGTATGGGAACTATCAAAACATAATGATAATTAATAAAGAACCATGTTTAATTTTTGAGAAATGCTATGTATCCCAAATATTCTACCAAACCTCTCATATGGAGTGGGAATCACACAAATCCACATATGTGTGAGTCCCACACCCATGTGAGAGATTTGGTAGAATATTTAGGGTCCCTAGAATCACTCTTAATTTTTTGTGAATAATGTATATCAACATTAAATAGTGGTGTATAATTAATGCATATCAACATTAAATATAAGGGTATAAGAGTCTAAGAAAATAGTGTAAATAAAAAAAAATGACCTTATGGAATAAATGTATAAATATATGGGACTAAGTGGGTTATAAATTTCCTTCATGGACTTCTTGGGCTAAAATACTCTTAAATAAGATTTATCAATAAAAACCCCATAATAATAATAATAAGAAAAAGAAGAAAAATGCTTGAGGCTCCTCTCTTTTGAAGACCCCCACAACCCCCTTTGGATTTCTACCATTGATGTATGTATGAGACCCACTTATGTATGTGTAGGGTCCACACCATCAATGATGAAGATCCAAAGGGGATTGTGGGGGTCTCCAAAAAATGAGTGTCTCAATCATTATTATAATAATAATATGTGTGAAGCTTAAATTTTCTAAATAATGTTTGCTAATTAATAAATTAGATTGGCATAATAAGGCATTTGGTGCTTCTTCATAAACTTAAACCACAAACCTCCTCTAAAACTTAAAGGTTCAATCACTTGAGTCACGCTCAAGTTAATCTATCAATCCTTATGAATATAACGAGTTTTAATAAGTAAAATGTAATGTAGACAGCGGGCTCTCCCTTTTCTAACTAGATTGGCCCATAAAAGGGTTTAATCTCCTTTGAGGGCATGCTTTATGCACAAGCATGAAATATTCGCTGCAAGTATAATCATAGAGTAATAGGAATCTACTTCTTAAATGATAACACTTGAGAGGGGAGATTTGCACCGGACAGTATGGCTGAGCTACGGTAATGCGGGTGTGGCAAACCTCACGGTGCCGTGCTATCTTCTCAATTGGCGTGGCCCTCCGGCCTGTCGTACACGGCCGAGGTAGGTTGGCTGACCAGGCATGGTCTAAGGCCGGGCCGCGCTGTGACTGTTAGACGTTCGGCGATAGGCGCGCGTTAGCACGGCACAATCGAGCAAATGACAGTCCGGAATGAGTTTAGGCCAAGAAGAGGACCAGCACGCTTCACTTTCAGTTAACCCGGAGAGTTTGGACCAGGATGGTGGTCGACGTGCGCCCGACCGGATAGCTCGGAAGCTCGGTCGTGTTTTCTGTGGTTGTGATTTTCTCCAAGGAATAGGCCGGTTTTGGTATGCCGGTCAGGTGTGCCACTTGGGCCAATGGCGTGAGAGAGAGGAAATCTGCTCCAGGCACGCGTCAATACCGTTTGACAGTTTTGCATGTACTAGATGGAGGATTTGGCCTTTACACGCGTAAAGTGGTGGGAGGCGAGCACTGCCACCTGTCTAGGGAAGGACAGCAGAGATAGTGCGCGCACAATCCTGAGGCTGCATAGCCAGCCTAGAAAAAGGAAGGGAAGATGAACGTTAGAGGTAAACAATTGATGCTATTTGAAACACACACTCTCTCTCTAACAGCCTTCTTCTTCCTCAAGTGATCTGACTTGATCGTCGGAGGGTCTATTCGGCAACCCACAGCCGGGCAGCTCACCGTTTCTGTGTTGCCAGGTTAGACGCCGTCACGTGAAGCTTGAATCCAAGGAGTATGGAAAGCAGAGGATATTTCGCCCCCGTACAACACTCATCCTTTAATATCTCAATCACTGTAAACCAAGTGAAATGATGCAACTCTTAAGTTGACACTAAAAACATCATTCCAGTTGGGCAATGACTGAGCAACTGTACTACTTGAACCCTGTTGGTATTCAAGATTGCTGGACAACATGTAATGCTATGCTAAAGCTGCGCGGCGCATTACTACACCAAAGAATGTAAGCCACGAGTCTTAGCACGGTCAGCTAATTTGGTTAACATCGCACACCCAATTCTGTCTAGTCATGATCCGCTGACCGTTTGCTCGGTCTTCTACGGATAACTTGGTTTTTAACTCATTTCAACTTAGAATGACATGAAGAGTAAACCAAAACTATTTAGCTCGGCCCAAGCCTAAGGCCCATGCAAACTTAGCTCAGCCTATTTGCATAGCGCAAATTACTCTCTCATTTCACAGCCACTTATTTGTCCTGACCAAATAATAGTATATATCTCTTAGCGATTCTTTTCTTTGTGAATCACCTATTTCCCACCATCCCATTTGATCAATCTTGTAAGATCTATTAATTAAAGGAATCAACGTTAAGTCCTCTCAAGCGGCGAGGTATCTAGTCTCATTCTCTTACTCCAAATGAACTGCGTTAGCTAAAGTACTATAATTGATAAGAAAATAATAGAATTTGTTAAATAATCAAACCTTGAATAATTTAAGCTTCATTTGGTAACTTAAAATTTTAGCAAAAAAATCATTATAAGTTATCACATCACTCTCCCTATTTTTCTATATATCTTTTTGTAAAAAGACAAAAAATTACTAAAATAACTTGTTTCTAAATCTAACAAAATGAGTGATTTGTAAAACAGAATAGAAGAGAGTGGCGTTAATAGATTGTCAGTGTGACATTCTTGTATATAATATTTTTATGAACGTCAATTATTGAAGCAAACTAAGGCCAGGTTTGGCAAGTCTAAAATAATCTAAAAAGTCAAAAAGTTATACAAAAAACAAAAAAATCATTACTATTCACAAATAAAAAATATTAAAAAAATGTTTTATATATTTTTGTAATTCAAAAGTTTGATGGATATTGTCAGCCGTACTTGTGAAGCAGGAAGGCCATTATGCACTTTTTGGGCCAAAAAAAAAAATTACATATGTAAAGCTACAAAGTTTGATTCAAACATTGGGCCCTTGGGGGCTCACTAAGGGTTCTGTTTTGATAATCCGAACCGTTTAATATGTAGAACTCGTCAAGTAATATATGCCTGTAAAAAATTACGTTGATCGGATATCGTTAACTATATGATCAAATCAATTTTGTATAAACAAAACATATGGTCTGATAGTTAACTGTTGAAAAAAACTAATCCGATCATATAGCTATCAATATCCGATCAACATGATTTTTTACAGTCATATAATACTCGATGAGTTGTACATATTAAACGGTTCAAATTATTAAAATGGGACCCATAGTGACCCCCATGGACTAACCATTACTGTCCAAACACTTTGTCCGAAGAAGATAATTATTTTCTGTGTAAGACATGCTGGGACAGCAGGGCAGCCTTACAACCACTCAACTTTCTTTCATAATACACTTTATTTATATAATTTTTTATTACACATTTTTTCGTAAAAAGACAAAAAGTTAACACAAACATTCATCTTTTTTTTTCTCAATTTTTTAGTTTAAAAAGTCAAAAAGTGCATTTATTTAGAACACCCCAAACAACTTCTAAGAAAGTTAAAAAGATTAGAGACCAAACCAGAAAAAAGAAAAAAAAAAAGAAAAAAAGAAGAGTCCTATGTAAGAAAATACTGAAACTTAAGTGACCTAAAATGTAATTTACTTAAAATACTATTGAACTCATAATCCTGATTTCGCGTAACTGCAAGCAATTGTGCAATAAGCCCTTCTCTCCTCCCTATTTCCTCCAAACCGCGAGAGAGAGAGAGAGAGAAATGGGTGGAGCTCAGGTGATGAACAGAATCCCACGCATCAAGTTTCCGCAGAGACATTCAAAACCCTCTGGTTCGTACTCTCTCTTTCTCAAACAGTTATGTGTATACGAATTTAAGCGATTGAAGAAGAGTGTAAATGCTATGTTGTTGTGAAGATTATGTTTTTCTTTATCTATGTGAGCTCATTGGTTATGATTCAATTGATAAGAACACCAGAAGCAGACTCTTTTATTTTTCTTTTGTTCACTGTTAAATCTTTAAGGCCATGTTTGTTTAGGTGGACATGAGCTTGGGATTGGACTAATAGTCCAATAAAATTATTAATCCGATATTTGGTTAAACAATTGAAGTACAGACTAATTATTTTAAACTTGACTATTGGTTAAGATATGATACATAATCCAATGGATTCGTAATCCTAGGACTATTAGTCATGAGAATGCTAATCCAGTCCGCCCAAACAAACATGGCCTAATTGAATTGTGAATCAAAATTACAAATTGGGAACTCATAATCCTGATTTCGCGTAACTGCAAGCAATTGTGCAATAAGCCCTTCTCTCCTCCCTATTTCCTCCAAACCGCGAGAGAGAGAGAGAGAGAAATGGGTGGAGCTCAGGTGATGAACAGAATCCCACGCATCAAGTTTCCGCAGAGACATTCAAAACCCTCTGGTTCATACTCTCTCTTTCTCAAACAGTTATGTGTATACGAATTTAAGCGATTGAAGAAGAGTGTAAATGCTATGTTGTTGTGAAGATTATGTTTTTCTTTATCTATGTGAGCTCATTGGTTATGATTCAATTGATAAGAACGCCAGAAGCAGACTCTTTTATTTTTCTTTTGTTCATTGTTAAATCTTTAATTGAATTGTGAATCAAAATTACAAATTGGCAAAATTATGTGCAGACTATAAAAATTGATGTTAGACAAGTGATTGCATTGTCTAATTGGCTAAACATTGTCTTCATATTAGAAGATTGTGAGTCCAAATCCCACTAATTATAAAAATTTTAAAAACCAAAATATGTTCACTCTTGGCATTCAAAAAATGAACTTAGGAACCCTGAATAGAGTAGAATGAGAAGAAATAATGAGTTTGAACACTTTATCTCAAATCTAAAACATTTTGAATGGTGTGCACGCATTTCTTTAGAAAATGTTTTTTTTTTAAAAATATTTTGGTATTATTGTTGGGTGTGACTTACCTGGCTCATATTATATTGGATCATGTTTATTTTATCAACATAACTGTAAATATTTTGTGGGTGCTGTTATTTTAGCCTAAAAAATTATTAGAAGATGTATTTTGAATTCTTTTATTTGTTTTTCTCAATAAAGTTAAGAACATGCCATGTTTGATTGGATCTGACATAATTCTGTTATATTTTTTGATCACCAAAAGAATAATGAATCATGCATACATATTAATTCTTCGTACTAAACACTTAGAAGTCATATTCTGGCATTTTCCCAAAAACCTTGTTTTATAATTCAAACAATTTCAAGAATAGTCTAAATCGGAAAATGTGAATCAATTGTGAATTCTGCAATTCACTAACAATTCTATCACAAATTAGATTCACCCGTTGATTCACATTGATTTATATATGAATCTCAGAAAACTATGATTAGAACATAGATAGGTGCTGTTCAGAAAAATACATGGATCTTTTAAATATTAGAACTTTTATGTGCACTGATCGACACCTCTAGTGGCTATAGAGAGTTAAAGAGACAAAGTAGAAGACCAATCTTGGTGCTAGTTTGATATATATATATAGAAGTAGATGTTTATCAAGCAGTATGCATTGAGAATCAGTTCAGTTGGAGAATAAAGTTAGCAATGTGAATACCATACAGCAAATTCATGATTTGTTATTTATGTGGACTTTTTATCATGTGTGTGTTTGTTTCCTAATGCTACCCAAGTATTTAAGGTAATTACTCTGCAGGTTCAACATCCCAACATCAAGAAAAAAATACGGCTGGCAATTCTAATCAGACTTTGTTTTCGAGGTCTTCCCCATCTAATGTGACTGGGGGGGGAAAAGCTTCTCTGCAGCCCAAACGAACACCATTCTCTCAAGAGGAGATTGATGCTATTTTGGTATGTGAGACCTCCTCGTTGTGTTATTCTGGAATTTCAAACATTTAATAGTCTAAAATTCACTTTTGTTATTTGTTCATTTGTGTTATCTTAAGCATAATCCTGTGCTTAAGTTGTTGACTATAAATCAATATTGAACTGAATAAAAAAAACAAATGAAAGTTGGACTATACGAAATGAAACACGGTCCATTCATTTAGAGTCTGTTGGGCCACATTTATGTTTTATGTTTCCTGTATTTGCAACTTTTTTAAAATCCTCTTGTCTGTCTCTTACATCCATTTGGTCTTCAAAAGTTGCATTCATAAAACATGAGTAAAGTATGTTTGTCTTCAATCCCCACCTCTCTTTGTCATAACCAAAACAACAAAAAAATTGCTATGTTTGCCATTTAAGGTGAAACCCACAAAGGCTTCTGATTTTGCTATGCATGAGCAACTTTTAATTGGCCACTTTGCTTGGTTCTCATTTTTTAAAAACAGTTTTCAAAAAATTCTACACTCTTATTTTTCGTGTTTTTTTTTATTTTTACTGAATTTTTAAAATCTTTTATGTAATTTTTTTTTACTTTTTAGACACACCTAACATAAATACACCTAAAAAGTAAAAAAATTGTAAAAAAAATCTTTTAAAAATTCACTAAATACCAAAAATACAAAAAAAATACAAGAATTTAGTACATTTTTTTTTTATTTTTATGTATTTCTTAATTTTTTAAAATATTTTTTCACAATTTTTTTACTTTTTAGACATATCTAAGGAAGGTGCATCTAAAAAAGTAAAAAAAATGTTTAAAATTTTAAAAATATTCACCAAAAACAAAAAAACACGAAAATAAAAAAACTCAGTTTTTAAAAAATTTAATCCAGAAAATTCGAACCAAACACAGTGATTATTATTATTATTTGGAGGAATAGATACTGTGGTTAAAGTGAAACTTCAGTTCTCATGTTCTCTCTATGGCATGTAAATTTCATAATATTCTTTTTTATATAGCATTGCTTCAAAATAATCTGTTGATTGAATTATTTATCTGTTTATTTGTTTTTTGGCAGTTGGGTGGCTGTTTCTGATTCTTACATGGGGCCGTGTGGTGGGAGTTCATTGGTTGACAGTTTTTTTGGCTTTCATATCTCATTTTTCATGTTTTTTTTGTCTCTCCAAATATCAGAAGTCCACTTCCTACATAAATTTTGTTCTAAAAGGAGAGGAATTTTGAAGTCATGCATTTGATTTGTCTTCCTCAAGATACGTATTGTGGTTGAAGACAGTTTTGATAAAAATCCAATTATACAGATTTGTTTTAACAATTGGGGAACTTTTATAGATCAGTTACTTTAAATATAGCAATGCTACAGACCCCCAGTGGCACGTGTCGGCTTGGGGTTGGTTGAAAACTAAAAAAAAAAAAAAAAAAAAAAAAAAAAAAAAAAAAAACTGTTTTTTTGACCAATGGGAAGGGACCCAGCACCCCCACTGGGGGTCCGAAGCTTTATTCCTTTAAATATTTACTTGTTCTTTTCTTCTTTTTTTTTTTTAGGGGGGGAGATCAGCCCTTGATCTTCCATAATAAGAATTTGCAGATTGGTGTGATTTTGCAGGGAATGGAGAGATCTAAGTTTAAATTGCCTAAAAGATTGGTAAATTTTATCTCAGGGAGTACTTATTCCATGGTCGGAGACATCACATTATTATTTTTTCTGGTTATTTATAATTAATTACTTTGAATAAAATAAGATTTGACATCTCTACTTATTCACCATTTTTTCTAATAAAATGAGTTGTAAGTAGACAAAATTCGCTTAGATGACTGATTCGCGAGTGGGTTGCAAGATGATGTGTTGGTCTTAGAGTCTCAAATAATTTTTTATATTTTTAATTTTATCTACAATGGTTTTTTTTCTTTCTTATATGTGATCTGAAATTGAATGGTGGTGACATTTTGGACTTTGGAATGAGTTTGATGCTGCTAATGGGCTGTGTGCCTGTGGCCCAGATCAGATAGCTGTTTGGATTTCAGTGCTTTGATATTTGCAAGCTACTTCATTTTCCGGCATTTTTTCCTCTTTAAATCATTTCCAGCAAATTTCCATAATTATATAAGGCAAAACTAATTTATAATCCAAATCATTTTTGGTTGCCCTTAACTTGATGCCTTTGAAGAAGGAAAAAAATCAAAAATATAAAAAGAGGAAAATTATCAAGTTCATAATTAAGGAGTTATGAGAAAGTATTTAACTTCAAATTTCTTGGTTAAGAAAAATCTGTTATTAACCTTTTTTTGTTAAAAAAAAAAAAAATTCAATCTATCATTATTTAGAATATTTTATAAATTATAAAAAAATGTTTAATGACTATTTTCACAAACTTTGAAAATCATTTGAAATAATTTTTTAAGTGAGTTTATTAGAATAATGTCCCAAATAAATTATAAATTTCATTTTTTGATAAAAAATTATTCAAATTTTGAAATTAAAATAAAAAATCAATAAATTTGTTGTTATAGCGTTAAACTAATAGTTGACTTGTCACGATCTAAATCTATCCCTATAGATTTAGTGTCGTAACCGGTCAGTAATCCTGAGATTACTGAAATCATCTAACCTGAATATCATATAACATAAGGGGCTGCAGAAGTAAATATATAAAATACAATGTCCATTAAGCTGTGTAGACATACACGAGACAGATGATTTAAACTTTATATATAAAATATATATAACATCATATCCACATAAGTTATGCAACAGCATACAAGTATTATCAAAAGGGACTTAGCCTAGTGTATGGATTAAAAAAAAAAAAAAAAAATTCCTTAACATGATTCACAGAACTTGACTTCTTCAAACGAGAACCTCCTTAAGAAGCACGGTGGCTGGCTGACTGACCCAAAACTCTCCAGGCAGCAATTTAGGCCTGGTCACGCGCTTGCTCACCTACATACGTAATATAAATAGTCAGCGAAAACCCAGTAAATAATAACAGAGTAAAGGGTTTAATGAATGATATCCCATATCAGATTCAGAAAGCAAAAACAGATTCATATTCTTATTCAGAGTTCAGAAACATGTACTTATTCAGTTTCATAGAGGATCATACGTGGTACACCCAGTAACGCTAATAGATCATATACAAAGCATTAAGGGTCATACTTGACCAGTTCCTTAAAGGAACTTCCGGTACTGGAAACATATAACATACTTGAGCCACGGTATTGTTATCCCCAAGCGAGGGCCATGAGACTACGGTATTATTACCCCTGGGCGAGGGCCTTGTGCTCATAAACCACGGTATTGTTACCCCCGGGCTAGGGTGTAGACACCTTATTTTTGACGGCCCTTACGACTTGGACATCCTTGCATGCACCCCCGATGATGAGTCTAAATGTTTGTCCAGTGCTCGAAGTCTTCAACGGAACGCCACAACTTTGAGCCTTTCAAACCCTATACCCTTTTTGTCTCATTTTTGGACCATGCCTTGGCCTTTCCAGCCTGCAACCTCTGGTGGCCTGCCGGTCATCCCTAAAGGCTGTCGGCCATCACTTTTGGGCTGCCGGCCACTGATGTGGCTTACCCGCCACCAGTGATGGCCGGCCGGCCACCAGTATATTTTGCAGATATTTTATGCAGTTGTGCCAACTGTTTGCACAGATGCATGCATCTATCCCCACGTGTAGGGCTGGATCTCCTTGAGGGAATTTCATGTTTTCTATATATAGGGACCCTTTCTTTCTTGTAGCAAGGTTAGAAAATTTTGAACTCAAAAATTTTCCTCTCTTTCTACAATTCTCTCTCTCTGCAAATTCTCTACACTTTTGACTACAAATCCTTGACTTTTGCCTATACACCCTTAACAAAATCTCACCATCTTCGAGCTGAGGTGTTCTTGAGATTGGTTTGAGCTCTAGAGGGTGTACTTGATTGGTTTTGTAGCTTGGAATTACTCTTCTCAAGAGGTATAATACTTGCTTTTTTAGCTTGCTTTGCATTCTTGTTTTTCTATCTTTTTCCCACTGATTTTGGGTTGTTTTGGGGCTATAAAAACTCTGCCTTTGTAGGCTGAAATTTGTGGTTATAGGCAATTTAAAGGTAGGGGGTGATTCACCATTTTTTGTACCTTGCTTGTAAGACCTTTCCACATTTGTTTCCCACTTTCAAACTATCTTTTTTCAAGCTTTTAAACATTGATTTTCAGAGCTTTTTCAGTGACTAAAATCATGTTTTGAAGTTCAAATTTGGAGAGGTTAGCCTCCCCCCTTTGTGTCTTGTTTGCTACCCTAGTTTATGCTATGGGTTAGCTTAATTTTCTAGCCTTTTGTAACTTAATTCCAGTATGCTTTAGAACATATTTTAGACTGTTTTAACTCTATTTTGGGTTGGTTAAGTCATTGGAGTCTTGTTTTGCATGCTTGTAGTGTAAGTGTCCTCAAAAGCTTGATGTTTTAGGCCTTTAGACACCACTTGTTTGAGTTGATTGCATTGTTTAGTACTTTTCTCACTTAATTTTAGCAAGCATAATCTTTGCAACCTCTTTCATTTCTTCACTCTTTGTTTGCTTTGAAGGTTGTTTCAATCTTGGGATTGTTTAAGCTTGAGATTGAGGTCCATGCTTAATGGTTTAATCCTCTTTGGGGGTTCATTATCAACGGCATGACACCTCTCTCTTGCGTTAAATAACCCCTTGTTTGACACTTCCTTCTCTTTTAGAGGACTTTAATTCACCATTGGACTTAATTGAATTAAAGGATGGTTGGTAAATTAAAATGAGTAACTAAAACTTGTGACTAAAAGTGAGCAAGATAACATTTGGTTGTGTTCAATTGGGCGTTAATTGAACACATGGAAGCTCGAACCATTTCATACTTGTTAGTGATGAAATGATTCAAGTCTCTAAGGTCAACTTTTTCCCTTGATCATTCATGAAAGGGAGGAGGCTTGTGTCTTATTTTGCATTTATTGAACTTGCACTCTTGGGTTCACAAGCCATCATGTAATGAAATTACTTGAATTGGTGGCTTGTGGTTTAGGTTCACCACTCCATGGATTTGTTCATGAAAAGGAGGGATGAGTTGTGCAGACAATCCTTGAAAATACCATGTATATGCTCTATTTGTCCTCTGTTGCAGCAAGATGAACCTAAGTATCAGTGGCCGGCAGGTGGCCGGCAAACCACCTTCGATGGCTGGTAGGTGGTCGGCAATTTTTACCAGTGGTCGGCTGGCCACTGATACAAATCTCAGCAGAGTGTTGGTAGGTGGAGCAAAGTTGTTCTGGAAATGTTCAACTATGCAAACAGAGGCATTCGGGAGCAAACGGTGGTCTTTTTGGGTGGAATCCGAGCATGCGCATACACATCTCTCATTTCCTAAGGCGGAGTAGTTAATTGCTTAGTTTAATTATTAATTACAATTGTGTTGTAATTTTTTAATTAGTTAGTTAACTAGTTAATCAATTCAAGGGTTGTAATAATTAGCTTAATTAGCTTTAGCTTTAATTAGTTAGCTAGTTAGCTTAGTTTATCCATTCGGACTCTCCTGCGCGAGGGCATCAATGTTGTAATAATGTGTATGTCTTCTAGCCCCACGTTTTTCTTCCTTTTATTTACTAGCTTTTGATGGTTAGATTAGGAGCATTACGTTTCAATTAGCATATCGCATGTTTGTATCCATTCATTTGTCTTGTATGCACCGAGGCTCAGTTCATCATTCTAACTGCATTGTCGTTTCAATACCTCGTTGAATACATGTTTAAACGCATGCTATGAAATTGTTGCAAATAACATGTTAAGTAGCCGAGCCTATTTTAGTTGCATTAGCCGTCTTGCATAGTTAGGAATCATGCATTTTTCTAACTAGCTTCTCTTTTGGCTTGGAGTACTAGGTGAGTTTGAGGGCTTTAGTATACTTGCATGAGTGTGAGTGATTGCCATGTCTAGCATGCTTGCCATGAGGCTAAGTGCTTATTTGTTAAACTGTTTGAGTGCCTGTGGACGAGGCTTGTTGCTTGAATTGGAATGTTTCAATGAATGTACGTTTAAGCCCACTTTGTCAAGTGGCAAAATCACAACTTTAAGCCCACTTTGTTAAGTGGGAAAATCAAACCCTTTTCAAAAAACAAACATGAAATTGAATTGTTCTAATTCGGGCAAACTAGTCTATACCTTATGTGCGCACATCACATAGTAATGCTAGCCTAATAAAATAGAACAAGAGCATCTTATGTAAATAAAAATCATATCATGATTAATAGAGGTCGATCTTTGATCGGGCGAGTAGGGGGTGCTCAAATGTATTCATGACCTTCCCTCCTCGTACTTAAGTTCCCGAACCGAGGCAACTTTGGT